CCGGTAAGAATGACATCTCGCCCTGCTCATCATTCCCTCTTCATATAGCTGTATATATGGCTATTACACGATCATAATACACTGTGATATAGCCTGGGTCGTTAGTTCGTTGCATTGTTTTGTTTTCTCGCTACAATCGATACGCTCAATAGGACAGAGACCGTCTCATTCAGGCGATCTTGGACTGATTGATTTGGCGCGGAAGCGAGCGCAACTGCTGGATATATGCTAAAAAAACGCGCTAACGGGTGAAACGAGACAGATTCCGAAACAAACTTTTAGGATAGCGAGTGTCAGATTTTCACAATCCAATTGCGCAACGATTTGGCTTGTTTCTCTCGCTCGAAAGCTTGACAGAGCCTCTGCCCGTAGCTACGATTGGTAAGCCGCGATTGGTGGGTGGCGGTTTTTGGGCGTGGCTTAGTGAAGAGTCAGTTTAACAGGAGGATCCCGTGAGAGCAAAAGCACTAAAGGTATGAGACGCCATCGTAAACAAAAGTCAAGCGAACGCAAAGAGACTGAATGCACGAGAGAGAGAGAGAGAGAGAGAGAGAGAGAGAGAGAGAGAGAGGTGTATGTTGTATGTGAGAGAGAGAGAGAGAGAGAGAGAGCGAGTATTGGCTCGATCTCAAGTTCAAATTCAAATTCTCTCTGCGTTCGCTTGACTTTTGTCCACTCCGGCGCCTCATAGTAGTCACGTTGGATACTGTCGAATCAAAACAATCTACCGTGCTTCGATTGGACGTCATGCCGAAAGCGCGCATGCTCACACACACGCGCGCGCGCATGCTGTCACACACACGCACACATAAACGGAGAGAGAGAGAGCGGTCCATGTCAACATACTTTTTTATCTTTGGGCTTTTCTTGGGAAGCAGCAAGTCTTTACAAGTCAATAGGGGCAAGTCCTAGTCAAAGTCCAAGTCATTTATGTTCAAGTCCAAGTCGAGTTGCAAGTCTTTTTATATTTTGTCAAGTCGAGTCTAAAGTCATCAAATTCATGACTCGAGTCTGACTCGAGTCCAAGTCACATGACTCGAGTCCACACCTCTGGTCTGTGCCCTACCATCACATTACTATATGATAGTCATAATAGACACAGAAATAGGGTTTACCTTATCTGTGGCATCATGGAAATACACCCATAATGTTTTCTGGTCTCCTAATCCCCAGTGTTTATCTGATCTTATGAAAACCTAGTGTGACTTATGAGCTCACCAAACGTGACAAGGCATCTACACAGCTTAGATTGAAAACCCAGTCAACTTGACCCAGTTTAATCCTTTTCAGTTCATGAATGATGCCAAAGCAAAAATGAGAGAAGTAGCCTTTGTATTAGACTGAACACAGTTGTGTGTTTCTCACAATTTGCTTTGCCATCTGAAGCAGCCCGATAAGATCTGATTACGTCATTTGTTTATGCCCAAAAGCCAACAGAAGGATCACAATATAGTATTAAATGCTATTTTTATTTTAGCACCTGCTCATTGAATGAATCAGGAGCATTATGAGTGTGTCATTTGCTTTTGCATTCTGTTTTTTTCTTGACCAGCACAGATGTGACTGTTAAAGCAGGCAGACAGGATGTAACGTGAGAGATCAGATCCTGTTGTCCAACCTTGACTAGCTCACGTTGCTCTGTTTCTCTCTAGCATTGTGAAACGATACTCTTAATGTGATCAGCGATGCAGTTTGAGGTGGTGTAGATCAGTTGGAGGATAACTCGGTTGAAGGATAAGAGCTACAGCCGACCGTTTTGATCTTGATCTTTTTTTCTGTGGTGAAGTGGAGGATGTAAAAGCATGTCATTATTCATCTTCACTGCTCTCAGCCAAACTATCTGCATTTTTGAAGGGCTGTAATAGAAAATCTAAAGTTGACAATGATGTGTTTTGTTCTGCTGGAACACATTTCCTCTATCGAACAGACTTGTCTGTCTTGTGATGATGTAACAGATCGCTCTTTATTTACAGCAATCCTGTTAGTCACAAATATTGTTGGGTAACCCTGTAACGATACTAAAGTTGCACCAGACAAATTTCACAATCGTTGATACCACATAAAAAAAAAAAAACGTGCCGTTGGACACTTTCATGTAAGCCAAAGTCTTTTTGTTTTTTTCAATGAAAGCAGTTGTACTGGACACATTTACACTTATTTTAGATTACATTTTTGTTATCATTCTAACGTAGACTATAGCTGGATTTATACTTTCGCTTGGCACCGCATTGCCCACCTCACAAAATGGATGAGGCTATTATACTTCCCGCGTTCGCCGTTGTGATATTCTTTTATAAAGACAGGGGTCCCATCGTAAAGTCAGACAGATAAACAGAAGTCGAAAGTTTCTGGAACTACGTCATATCATTAATATCATTCAGGATTTTTAAAACTAATTGTTTTTATTATTTTTATAAAGCATTTTAATGATTATAAGGATTTATAAAAAAAAATTTAATCCAACTTTGATTCATCACTTGCTTTTGTTCATATCCCGGATAGTTTCACCTATTAAAGTTTACTAAAATATTAATGACAAGAAAACATGAGTTACTCTACAAATATATTCTTTATTATGCCAAGAATAAAAACAAAACAGTACACTTACTAAAAAAATACTGATTATTTTTATTTTTATTTAGCCCACTCAACAATTCACACGTTACTAACTAATTTCTGTCCCATACTTACGCTAAAAAGGCAATAATGGTTCAACATTCTTGACCATTATCACCAATAAAGTCTAGAAAAACATGGCAGTATATTATAAACCGATAGATTCAAATATTCCTTTTCGAAAAAAATATTTTCGAACGAAATAATTTGTTCCTTAATTATAGTTTTGTAACTATTAAATTGTTTTAAATTCTAAATTGTAACATATACATCAGTGTAAAGCCTATGACTGGTGGAAAAACATATTCTGTAATTGTGTACATGCATCACCGCTTTTGCCATGACCTCTTTTGTCCTTCAGGTTTTCCAAACTTTTTAACAAAAGCTTTTCTCCTTTCCCATGGCTGTTGCAATGGCTAGCCAAGAATTCTTGATCATCTGGTTATCTCTATGATCTGTTTCAGACAAAATTTCTTCAAAGTGATTCACTTTCAACTGAAATCAAACGCGGCGCCGCACGCACTGTTCGCTCGAATCTCAAAAAAAAATCATGCGCTGCCCAAAATCATGTGGTGCGCACCCAAAGCAGACCTCCGCAAACTCCGCAATGATGTCACATTTGCTGCACGCACTCAGGCGAACTAGCGGACGCGTTGAGTATAAACCAGGCTTAACAATATTCCGTACACAACGATGTTCCGTACAAATTACCTTGTAACACCAAACTTTGAAATACTTAAGGGTCATAGACAAGTTGTGTAATTTTTATTTCTCACTCTTTCACCCCCGAGCACAACAGAGACCCTTCTACCATGTTTCCAAGAAATTCAGTAAGTTTGCTACGTCCACCTAATGCGCTTGAAAAAAAAAAAAAACAGTGGGCAAGCTAAAGGGCTGAGTGTCGCTTGGGAGGGGAGACTTTTAAAGCAACCACAATATGGATTTGCATTTAATTTATGCCTCACACAGTATTACAGTCTTTATGAACGGAATATTATGTTATCGAAAATTGTTAAATAGGTCAACTTTTGTTTAATAAATGCTTTGAAATATATGTATGGGATATTTAAATGTCAGTTGTGAGTGATGACCAGATGTTGCTACTCTCCGCCAGAGAGAGCCTGAGAGACAGTAGTAAAGTAACCATGATATAAAAATTAAATGATTGTAAAGTTATTTTATTTCAAACTTTCATAAAGTTATTAAATATAACATTAACTTCAAGTTAAGCACAATAATAGTATATTTTGACTTTGGTTTTTAATGAGACTTAAAACAATGTCCATTTTAACCAATGAATTGAAGCTATTCACCCTCTACAGAACACCGTTAATAATTTATTTTCAGGTATGAATTTTAATGGAGACAGCCATGCTCAATAAACGCGAAGATTAATGGAATATTATTGTGTAACACTTGCACAAAAAAGTGTACATTTTTCTTTTTCAATGTAAATAAGTGGTCTTTTTTTGGAAAAGAAAATTGCTAATTTTAATAGTGATTGCAATCAATAAACACAATAATTAATGAAATATTATTATATGAAACAACTGCATTTAATATCATGGCAGTGTTACAGTACTCTTGTCAACCTGACTTTAAAGAGTTTCTGGTGTTTTTCTTGGCGGCTATATATATATATATATATATATATATATATATATATATATATATATATATATATATATATATATATATATATGTATATACATATATATATATATACATATCATATATATAATTAAAAATGCCAGTTAAAGGGTTATTTGACAGGACAGTAGGTTGACAGAAAGTGAAAAGGAAGAGAGAAGGATTTAAGATTGGGAAAAGTCCACAGGCTGGGATTTGAACTTGGGATGACTGGAGCGTTTCCGCTCCAAATGTCAGCGCACTAACCACTAGGCTATTTCGCTGACTGCATGTTGTTTTTGTATGTAATTATTAACCAATTTTTTTTTCTTCTATAGGTTATGAATAAAATATGTTAATTCTAATCGTTTAATAAAATGACCGACCCCCATTTTGGGAACCACTGGCTTGGGTATCTGTGTCTAAAGACCATTTCAGTGTGGTCATGCCATAATGCCATTGGGTCATGAACATTTCCTGCTTGTGATCAAACTATTTCAAAACTGTAACGAGAAAATTCAATCATAACTTAATGTAAAAACATCTAACATGACATTATTTATCAATTTGTGGCTCTTTTTGGATTCTCTGAAGCTATAGATATTACGAATGGAAAACAGGAAACTCGTTGTGACCATTGTTTTTGTTTACATTGCTCAAAATGGTCTAGGGAGAATGCAAAGGTAACTTGAGCCATTGTAATCATCTTCATTCCTGCTCCCATCATGACCCCTTTTTCTCTCTTTTATTCCTAGGTGTCTGAAAGATGGTGGACCGCTTGGCGAACAGTGAGGCCAACTCTAAACGCATCGGGGTGGTGGAGGCATGCTTCGGCACAGCAGGCCAACCGCTGGCCATCCCAGGTCGAGTTCTGATCGGAGAGGGCGTTCTCACAAAGCTGTGCCGCAAAAGACCCAAAGCTCGGCAGTTCTTCCTCTTCAACGACATCCTGGTGTACGGCAACATCGTCATCCAGAAGAAGAAGTACAATAAGCAGCACATCATCCCTTTGGAGAGCGTCACCATAGACACGGTCGAGGACGAGGGCGAATTGCGCAACGGCTGGCTCATTAAAACGCCCACCAAATCCTTTGCTGTTTACGCCGCAACCGCAACGGAGAAGTCCGAGTGGATGAGCCACATCAACAAATGCGTTTCGGACTTGCTTGAAAAAAGCGGGAAATCTCCTACCGGCGAGCACGCCGCAGTCTGGGTGCCCGATTCAGAGGCAACCGTGTGCATGCGCTGCCAGAAGATGAAGTTCACCCCTGTCAACCGGCGCCATCACTGCCGGAAGTGTGGCTTCGTCGTATGTGGCCCGTGCTCAGAGAAAAAGTTCCTTCTCCCCAGCCAGTCCTCCAAACCAGTGCGCGTGTGCGAGTTCTGTTACAAGCAGCTCTCGACGGGTGCTACTCTCCCGCCCCGATCAGACTCCTACAGCCGGCAGGGCTCCGACTTCGGCAGCAACAACATCTCAGATGACGACGATGACGACGACAGCAGTGACTGAGAGTCTCTTTTAGGAAACACTGACAATATACAGATCCCAATATTTTAGTCTCTCATTCAAGGTTTGCAAAGGTTCCTCTGGCAATAACAGTTTCCCTAAATAATTAAAAGCCCTGTGCAAATGAACAAAAGGTTTGATGGGAATTGATCCTCATGAACACTACTTGTCGGCTCGCTACACTTCCACATTAAAGTCCCTCTCAGTCCAATTTAAGTCCTTTCATGTAGATGCATTTCTTGGCAATGGTGCTCTTTCATCTTCTTTTGCTAGCATTTTCTTACTGCTACTACGCCGGAGAAGCGAATGTTGCATAATGTGATTACAGGCTGTTCTTGAGCATACCCTCCCTCAGGTGAAACAGTGTAGTGCATTAAGTTTTAAACGACGAGCTGCGTTTAATTCTTTGAACAACTAACCACTAACAAACCATGATAGTATGTGTTTTCTCATGTTCTAGTAATTGCTAATGACAAATCAGATAGATGCTACTAAGCTTGTAAATGTGTATATGATGCCGTGGAGCAGGAAGCCTGTTGCATAATTCATCTGACAAGGTCGTCGCTGCCTCAGTGCCTTCTTATTTATCCTCAGGAAGTAGATCCTGGAAAGGAGAACAGTTTGACTTGGGCTGATTCCTTTACTTTGAGACGTCTGCGTTTAACAGCGCACCTCATATACTGCTTAGAGGCACACAGGTACCATTTAATGACTGTTTTTACTGTTTCAGTTATATGACTAGTAATCATCCCAACTTTTTTCAGAAGAGTATAGTCAGAATTATTGCATCTCAGTCCGAACAGTTTGAGCATCTTCTGACAGTAGCATGTTGCATCTGTGCACCACATGTGTGCATTGACAACTTTCTATAGTTCTCAATTACAGAAATATATCACATGCATGCAGCGTACAGGGAAAGGATGACCATTCTCTCTTTGGGGTTTTTGTGTTCGTGAGGTCACATGACAGTCAATCCTAGTTTTAAACGGGAATCGAAAGCATTATGAGGAAGTGACTGGATCACAGCCACCTTTTGTTTTGTTTTTTAATGACTGTTTGACACACACAAAACTGCACTAACAGCTTTCCAAAGGGGCGTATTTCTTTATAAATGACTGTTGGACTTTTTGGAAACGTACAGTAGTTAATTTGATCAGTGATCTGCTAGTTTACAGTCGTTTTGTCAAGCTGATAAAAGAGTCGGCTGTACTGCTTGAGAACAGTCTCAGAACTGAATACTTGATCACCTGTGAAGATGGCATATTTTTGTTTGTCAAAATAACAGAGCTGATGTTGAAAAAGGGATATTTAATTAACCTGACTCTGTCTTAAGAGTCTGTTCAGACTGTCTAGTAGTTCATATGCAACAACTGATACGCTTAAGTGAGAAGTCTTTTTTTTTCTTCTGCACATTTATGTGCAACTTATTTGAGATTGAAATAGGTTTACAGTGATTGACTCAAGGTAATGATCTAATCTTGCTTTTGTACTATAACGGCAGATTCCAGGACAGTCATGTATGGTATAATGTTTGATTTAATTAATTATTTGAACTTGTCCAAATTTATCCTGAGATTATCTTTGATTTAATTCTACTTTAATGTTTTAATATCATGCTTCAGTTGAAATATTCCTTGAGGATCGTTTTGGTTTGCATGTTGTAAACTTTGTACAGTGTTTTTTTTTTTGTAAATGTTAATTACTCTTAAGCTTTCAGATAGTTTCTTCATAGTGTTTCTGTGAGGTTCGTGTGTGCATTTCCTGAGCACCTCGGGATCAGCTACCAGCACTTTACTCTCTGCAAACCACAAAAGAGGGGTGGGGCTTGGATGGGGAGGGGCTTGAATAGGAAGTGGGGGTGGCCCACATATGTGGTCTGCAAATACAAGAGAATAGATTTTCATAAACTAAGCAAAGCTCAGAGTAGAGGATGAACAAGATTGCCATTTTAGTTACTTTTTTTATTTCTCGAACGTCATTTATGATTCCCTTGGATGGATTTGGGGGATTTTTCAGTTTTCTTGTACATTTAAATCTCATTTAAAACTCTCAAAGGGCTAAAACTGAATGTAATCCATCATATCATTATTAAATACTAATTTTGAGGAAAATATATGTATTGCTTAAACCCGTGTCTTGTCTTCTGTAATGCAAGTTTACAAATGAGTATTAAAGCTGATTTATACTTCTGCGCCAAGCTCAGGCATATGCTTTGGTGCAGCCTTTACGTGGTCAGATAGCCCTCGCCGTGGCTGACGGTGATGTACACCTCTCAAAAAAATGTAACTACATGTCGCAACTATGCATAGCGCAAGCTCTGTGATTGGTCAGCTTGGTAGTTGTGACCACTGTGTGTGGGACTGAGAGCCGCACAAACTCGTTGGAGGGAGTGTTTACAAGTGTCAAGAGAAGGAGCTCCACATGTAAACTGTTGTTGGGCGTTTATAATTAAAGTTGTTGCATGTCTGCCGGTTCACGCCTCTAAATAAGTGAGTTTAAGCTACTTGTACATTATCAAGGTAGCATTCAGAAAAAGCAAAACACCCACAGAGAAACTTGACACAGAGGAACATAACCCACTGCCAGCAGGCATTTCATAAGTGTTATTGCAGAGCAACACAAACAGTGCACAAATGCACGGCTACACTCAAGGCTTGCACAGCGGGTCACGCTGATCACTAGATGCAGAAGTATAAATCAGCCTTTGAAGGGGACTTATTACCCCTTTTTACTAGAAGTCTCTGATGTCCCTAGAGTGTGTGTGTGAAGTTTCAGCTTAAAACCCCACACAAATACCGTTTAATACTGCGTTCACACCAGACGTGGATGAAGCATCAAGCGTGAGTGATTTACATGTTAAGTCAATGCAAAGACGCGAATAGGCATCTTTTGGCGTGAATGAGGTGGTGCGAGTTGAGCTTGATTTAGAAATTCTGATCTTTACTAGACATTCGCACCGCGTTAACCAATCAGGAGCTTGCTCTTGTAGGGGCGTGATTATAATGTAGCGCCTGTTGTTGGTGTCCTAAGGGGAAATTCTCTTGCTGACACAGAACAACAGCTCATCAAACTGGGCTTGGCTCAGCTTGAAGCACTGCTGGAAGCTTCCATCATCCAGATACAGTTTCTGAAGAAGTTGATGAACTCAGAGCTGGGTGCAAACGGAGGTGGAAAGGATCTAGTGCACTCAGACATGTCGCTAAATGAATCTACACTGTTTATCAGCCTTCCTAAAGCACATAAACACAGCTATTATCTCAATAAAACCCATGTTAGCCATCTAGCAACGAAGCTAGATTTACCAGGCAGACAGAGGCCCTGCCCATGATGTGAATCCGCATCTATCATGAGACGCGCAAATAAAGTGAGTAAACTCAAAATGTTCACTTGTCTGTTAACGTGTGAATAGCACAATTTATCACGCGTTCTGCGTCTGGTGTGAACACAGCGTTATAACTCTTTTAAAGTGCCTCTTGTAGGCTTTGATAGTAATTGGTGCCTGTTGCTTTAAGTTGAAATGAGATGTGCTTTTCAAAAGAGGGCGGAGCTACAAATGCCTTTGTGTCAGCATATAGGCAGATTCAAAAACAAGACCAACTTCCAATGCTAATGAGAGAGATTGTAACTAATGGGCGGGGCTTTCCTCCTCTGATGACACATACAAAGGGAAAAGGTCAATCAAAGTGTTTCTGCTGATTTGAGTAAGTGTGATCATCAAAAATAAAATGAATACATTTTAGATGCTGGTTATATTCACAGACTTTTACCACACGAATGCATTTAAACCCCCTTATTAAAGTGATTTTTGCATAATAGTTCCCCTAAAGGCACCAAAAGTAGGATTTCCTGGGATCAGAACCAAACTGAGTACATACACACAGCCTGCCACTGCTCGGGATAATCTGTCTGTTACAGTTCTGGCTATTTGCATTGACCTTTATATGGTAATCTGTGCCACGTGATGTCATGAGGTATAAGGGGATTACTACTTGCTCAGTCACTAGGGTAAAGTTTATTTGATTGGCATTTGGTCTGGAACTTTTGGCCTGTAATTACCATAAAGCCTCTGTAAAATCTCAATTTCATCAGAATAATCAGCTATTATAGCAGAGTCAGCCTGCATGTCATTGCATCAATGGCACTTTTTTGGATCAAACCACTGAAGCATTGCAGAAAGCTCACATTTCCAGGAAACTTAATGGGTTGTTTAATCCCCTCATATATGCCTGTTAAATCACTGTCAATTATATTTTGTCATTTGCCACTCATAAATCTGACAGTCTGGATTTTTAATAAGATTTAAAAGTGTGACATGATTAAGCCCTAAACAGTTGAGTTGTACAGAGCACCAAACTGTGAGGAGTATTTGGGTGTGTCTATATTAATAACCGGTTTCACTGAGGTTCAGCTTTGCTGTGTAATAACGTGTTGAGACTGTTCATTTCTCAGAGGGCCCTCGGCTGCAGATGTTGAACTCGTCTGCTGTGCACATGGAGATTACTGCTGCTGATAATAGCAGCGATTATGCATCACGTGCATGAAGCAAGACAAATCTTGATATTTACAAATGGTTATCAGTGGGCTGGCCTGCTAGGGTTATAACGTCTTTAAAAAAGTATTTCACATTTAAATATGATCTTGAACATATAGAAAGTTTTCAATATCAATTAATTAGTTTTGCACACATTGTAACTGACCAAAAGCCAGAGTGGCGTGATGTGCTGGTGGCTTGAGAAAGCCGACATACTACATAACTTATTCTTCTTCCGTCTTCTCCTTAGACTATTTTAAGAACGCATCTCCTTCTAGACCGTTGATACTACAACCACCAAACTAACTCCAAACCTCCAAATTATACTGAATTAAGGTGCTATATCTTTACTAACTGATCTGGATTACGGTTTTCCAAAAACTGACTCGGAAAATTCAGAAAAGTCCCATAGATTTAACATTGGACAAAACTTTGTGACCTTATAACTCTGCACCAGACTATCATACAGACTTAAGGTTTGGCTCATTTATCTTAGACTACCAATCTGCCAATCACCGATGACCTTTCAACTCACTAGCCACACCCTAGCAACCACTTATGGCACCTTAGAAACTGTCCCATAGACTTCCATTATAAAAAAAACTGCTATTGACTTTACATTGGATTAACCAATGGATACCAATTCACACTAGAAACAACCTAACGACATACTAATCATACTAGCAACATGCAAATTCATAGTGAAACATACTAATCATACTAGCAACATGCAAATTCATACTATAAACATACTAGCAACATGCAAATTCATAGTAAAACATACTAATCATACTAGCAAACATGCAAATACATTGTAAAACATACTAATCATACTAGCAAACATGCTAATTCTTACTAAATTCATGTTAACAACATGCTAGTTTATACTAGAAACATGCTAGCTACATGCTAATTCATACTACTCATACTAGCAACACGCAAATTCATACTATAAACATACTAGCAATATGCTAATCCATAGTAAAACATACTAATCATACTAGCAAACATGCTAATTCATACCAATCATACTAGCAAACATGATAATTCATACTAAATTCATGCTAATAACATGCTAGTGTATACTAGAAACATGCTAGCAACATGCTAATTCATGCTAATCATAATAGCAACATGCAAATTCATACTATAAAAATAATACCAACATGCTAATCCATTGTAAAATACTAATACTATTAAACATGCTAATTCATACTAAATTCATGCTAACTGCATGCCAGTTTATACTAGAAACATGCTAGCAACATGCTAATTCATACTAATCATACTAGCAACATGCAAATTAATACTTTAAACATACTAACAACATGCTAATCCATAGTAAAACATATTAATCATACTAGCAAACATGATAATTCATACTAAATTTATGCTAATAACTAGTTTTTTACTAGAAAGATGCTAGCAACATGCTTGTATGTACTAGAATCATGTTAATGTGTTAGCAACTACTCAGAACACCTTAGCAACACTAGCAACTATCAAGCGAAACCTTAACAACCACTTAGCAACGCCTTAGCAATCGCCTAGCAACCAACCGGAACACCCTAGCAACCACCTAGCAGCACCTTAGAAACCGCCTAGCAACACCTTAGAAACCACCTAGCAACGCCTTAGCACCCACCTAACAACCACTCAGAATACCCTAGCAACTACCCAGAACACCCTAGCAACACCTTTGCAACCACCTAAAAACACCTTAGCAACCACCCAGAACACCCTAGCAAGTATCTAGCAACATCATAGCAACCACATTAAACACCCTAGCAACGCTAGGTAAAAACTTTTAACACCTTAGCAACCACCTGGCAACACCTTTGCTCCCTGGAACACCCTAGCAACACCTAAGCAACCACTCAAAACACCTTAACAACCGCCTAGCAATGTCTTAACAACCAGTCTAAACACTCTAGCAACCATTTAGAACACCCTAACAACTGCCTAGCAACACCTAAGCAACCACTTAAAACGTCCTAGCAACTATTCAGAACACCCTAGCAACCACTTAGCAACACCTTAGCAACCTCTCAGAACCACCTATCAACAGCCTAGCAAGAAGCATGTCAATCCATACTGTTTCAAATGTCTTAATCAGCTTCAGGTATTTAAACTTCAAAGCTACTTCAAACTTTCAGATTACGGCTTTCTCAAGACACCATAAAGTTGATCTACGAACTTTACTGTTCTAGTTCTGAAACTACTGTCCACTTCAAACATGTGGCGTCATGTTTCCAGTTATGTTTTAAAGCATCATAAAAGTATTAAACAGTAGTTATCACGAGTGTGGGGAATGAAACGCCTGTCTGTACTCTACAGTCACATGGTTTTCTCATAAATCATTTGCCCTTTGACTTTCAGTCAACATAAATACTTTTTCCAGCCTCTGAAGTAAACAAAAAGTAGAGCAAGGGTCTGATAATGTGAATCTTAGTAGCTTTTAGTAAACACTATGAAGTTTTAAGGCATATAGTAAATGCTATAGCACACATAGTATTTACACTGTCAATAAATGCTACTACAGCATAACAGTATTCACTATCGCAAACTGATAAACTGTAATCAATACTGTAGTGTAC